GGGAGGGAGGGAGGGAGGGAGGGAGGGAGGGAGGGAGGGAGGGAGGGAAGGCCCCACCAGTGCCATCATCCCCCTCACTGATCCCAAAATCCCCTCCCACCCCAGCCACCACAGTGATGATTTCAGCAGTGCTCAGTCCCCCAAAGCTCCTCTACCCACAGCAAGGCCAGGGCAGTGATGGGGGCCCAGCCCCATCCCAGGGTCTTCCTGGCCCTCTCCTACCTGTCCGTAGGTATGTGCCAGGACAGGGACAGTGATGGGGACAGAGACAAGGACTACTCAGCCCAGCATGGAAGGGAAAGAAGGACGTCAGCAGGGGAAGGAAACGTGCCAGGAGCCGCTGGGGGCTTAGAGAACCCACCTGTCCCTTCAGCCTAGTGCTGACAGCCCTGAGGGACACCAGGCCAACACACCATGGGGTACAGCTGTGCAGATGTGGGTGCCAGGACAGGGACACCCACCAAGACACAATTCCAGGGATCTGCTCACCCACCTGGACCCCCCTGGTGACTCATTCCCACCACGGAAGGGACACTGAGGCTGTGGCCCCTCCCCACAGCTGTGCCCTCCCCAGGGATCTGCCTGGTGGCATCAGGCCAGGAGCTGGGTCACACAGCCCATGCTGGCCTTGGGGACACCATTCCCCTGGGACCAGGCACTCCATGTGCTCCAGCTGCCATGGATAGCGTGGCACGGCCTGGCATAGCGTGGCATGGCACAGCACGGATCACCACATCCCCTCTGAGGGATCCAAGGACAACCAGGACGACCCAGATGTCCCTCCCACCAGCACATCCCCAGGGTGGGCACCCCGGGACTGGAGATGACACAGTGCCACAAGAGCTGGGGCTGCTTGCAAGGTGACAGCAGGGGACGAGCCACCACCATCACCCCTTGTGCCCATCCCTGCACCAGCGACACCCCGCTTGTCCCCTCCTCACCCACACAGCTTACCCGGGGGGGACAGTGGCCCTGGCGCCCAGCCCAGCCCCGCGCTGCGTCCCGGGCCGGTTGAGGTTGTTGAGACCGGGCAGCGCCGCGCTGGGCACGCCCTGCCCGGGGGCGAACCCCGCTCCTGCCACCCGCAGCCCTTCAGCCTTGGCCGTGCCCCCCGCCACCACCGCCGGCGTGCCCGTCCCCGCCGGCCACAGCGTTCCCCCGGCGAAGGTGCTGCTCTGGCGGACGCCGCCGGGGTAGAGTTTGCGGCGCTGGGACGCCAGGATGGCGTTGGAGGCGGCGCGGGTGCTGTTGACCAGCAGGCACTGGGGACACGAGCAGGGGGTGCCCGTGCTGGAGCCCACCGGCCACGACTGCGATTTGGGGATGGAGCCCATGGTGAGGGGATAGGCCAGGTCCATGCGGCGCCGCAGCCGCCGCTTGCGCTGCGTCTGCCGGTTCATTTGGGACATGCTGCTGAAGTAGATGAGGTAGCAGAAGCCCAGGGAGGAGAGGTCCAGCCAGGGGTGCTGCTTCTCGTAGGCGTTCTGGATGGTGATGCAGATGTCCATGTCGTACGGAGTCCAGGAGTTGTTGTCGTTCTCCCATTCCCACACGATTCCCTTCCCCGGAGCTGAGGAGGGGTCATAGAAGTTCCTCCGGACAGGTCGCATGGTCCCTGGGGAGACAGGGTGGGTGACACCAGTTCAGGGACCCACACCTTCACAGACATCCCTGTATCCAGCTTCCAGCCCGGCATCCCGCAGGGATTGGGATACAGAGGCGTTTCGGGATGCAACAGCCATTCTCCCCCTCCCTGAGAGTCCCCATGGCACCCCAACAGTGCTTCCCTATGGATGAATCCAACCCTCATCCCGCCATTGGTGACTGCCAGCCCTCGGGATCATCATCCTGGATGCCTTGGGAAGGGCGATGCTGCTCAGCCCTTGTGCTTTTCCCAGTTTTTTTCCATCCCTCTGGTCCAAGCCCTTCCCCACCCTCCCCTCCCCGTGGCCATCCAGGGCAGGGGAAACATTTCCCGGTCAGGAGAGGTTTCCTGACAGCTGCTGGCTCTGGCAGTGACACAGCCAGGGATTGTCCAAATCCCGTGCTCGTTTGGGATGGAGCTGGATCCTGCAGCCCCTCCGGAGCTCCGCGGTGGGGGAGGCATCGCTGCCCTCTCCTCGAGTGCCCCCCCCGGCACGGGGCCTGTCTATCCCCTCGCCGGCACCGTTTGCCCAGCTCGATTAACGGCACTAATTAAGGGTCATTAATCATGGGCCGCATCAGGCAGCAGAGCCAGGCCCCAGCTGCCGCCTTGTGCTGAGGCAGCTCTGCCAGGGCCGCGGGAGGCAGAGGGGGGGCCCTGCTGCCCGCTCCTGCCCAAATCCCAAATCTCAAATCCCAAATCCCAAATCCCACTGCTGGCCACTCACACCCACACCCTGCTGCCCACTCCCCTTCAACCCCACTGCCCACTCCCATCCATACCCCACTCACATCCATGTCCTGTATCCCACCTCAGTTCCCAGCTTTGCCTCCTTGCATCCATCTCCCCCTTCTCGCTGCTCACTCTTGCCCAAATCCCACATCCTGCCCATAAACTCATCCCTGACCCACTGGTCCTTGCAACTGCATCCCACATCCCCTTGCCCCTCATATCCCCATCCCAAACCCCACATCCTCCTGCCCCTCACATCCCCATTCCAAATCCCACATCTTCATCCCATATCCCATATCCCATATCCCCCTGCCCCTCACATCCCCATCCCAAATCCCACATCCTCATCCCAAATCCCATATCCCATATCCCATATCCCCCTGCCCTTCACATCCCCATGCCAAACCCACATCCCCATCCCAAACCCCACATCCCGTATCCCCCAGAGGGCACTGGAGCTCATTCCCCTTGACACACACAGCTCCCAGTCCCCAAGGGCCATCAGCTGTCCCCAGCCCCCAGCCCCTGCCAGCCATGCCAGAGCCACAGGGCCAAGCCAGTGTCCCCAGGGCCACCGGGAGGGGACGCACATCCCCGCTCTGGAACGGGGTCACCTCGTTTCACTCTGTCACTGAGTTTGTCTGTCCCCAGGCACTGTATGGGCCAAGCCCCCGGAGCCCCCAACCTCGTGCCAACCTTCCCTGTGTCCCCATGTCACAACAGGCACCAGGAGCACCCTCGAAGACCCTCCTGTCCCCAAGCACCACGAGCCATGTGGCAGCCTCCAAACCCTGGGGCTCACCCATGGGAAGAGATGATGGATAGAGATGGATACAGGGATGGGACACCTGGAGACCACAGTGCTGAGGACAATGGCTACATCGCCTGCCATGACACCCCTGGGGACACCGAGGTCCCTCTCTCAGCATCCCTGTCCCCAAGTCCTGCTGGCACAGGGACTGTGGTACCCAGGGACATCCCTGGAAGAGTTGTTTTGTCACCCCAAATCCATTCATGGCCCCACCACGGACACATGTCCCCAAGGAATGCCCAGCATTGTGGCCATGGGATGTGATGCCAGCTGCTCTCAGAGGATGGGTCCTGGCCAAAGCTGGCAGGAGGTGGCATGGGGACAGCCAGGGTGTCCCGGTGGCTCCCGCAGCTCTGAGTCAGCGCGGACCCTCCGGGTCGTGCCGGCGTCCTCGCTGACTCAGGGCTGCAGGTGCCAAGCTGCCCTTTGCCAAGTCCATGATCGGCCAGAGATGGAGTCAGAGCCAAGCTGGATGGCAGAGGCAAGTGGCAGGTCCCTGCTTTGGTCCCCATCTCAGTCCCCAGCCCATGGCAGGAGCCACATCCACACTCAGGATCATTCAGCATCACTGGGGACTAGGACTGGGGCCAGGCTGAGGTGGCACAACCATGGGGGTCCTGCCGTGGGGTGTCCCCAGGCAAGTCCAGGGGGTGTCACCTGACGTTTGGCAGGCCCCGTGCCTGCTGTGCCTGTGCCTGGGTAGGGATGCAGGGATGGGCAGGAATGCGCCCAGAACGGCACATCCCCCACAGCACAGCCGGCACGTGCTGGTTTAATGGGTCACACCGTGACGGGGACGCCTTTAATGGGGTCTGGGCTGGGTCCCAGTGTGGGACCAGCTCTGACTTCCCACAGGATATGTGGCCTGGATGCGCTGCTGCAGCACCAACCAGCACAGCTGCAACCATCCCAGTGCCCAGCACTGCTCCCAGTGTCCAAACTGGGGCCTCCCCACTTCCCTGGGGATGGAGCAGATTGGAGGGGAAGATGAGGGGACAGTGGAATAATGGGACACACCACAGCACCCCACAGAGGGGAGAAGGCATGGAGGGACGTGGGGACATGTCCCTCTGGGATGGAGGTCCATGGTGGATGGGAAAGGAAAGGGCTGGAGGTACCCATGGGGGGACTGGAGCCCTGGAGAGTGAGGGGAGGAGAGAGGGAACAGATGGATGGACAGATGGAGGGATGGAGGGATGGAGGGAGGGATAGAGGGATACAGGAATGAAGGGACAGACAAGTAAGTCTGTCTAAGGGAAGGAAGGAATTAAATGATGGATGAATAAGGAGAGATACACTGTCAGAGAAGGAGTGAGGGAAAAGGGAAAGACGGATGGATGGATGGATGGATGGATGGATGGATGGATGGATGGATGGATGGATGGAATGACAGACAAACAGGCATGCAGTGACAGATTCGTGGATGAATGGAACGACAGACATACACACAGGGACAGAGGGAGGGATGAAGGGGTGGATGGGAAGATGGAAGGAAGGAGAGGAAGATGAAAGATGAAAGGACATATGGAAATATGGCAGGATGGAAGGACAAAAGGAGGGAGGGATGTACCAGTGGGTGGAAGGATGGATGGATGGATGGATGGATGGATGGATGGATGGATGGATGGATGGATGGAAGGAGAGGAGAGGAGAGGAGGAGTGATGGCTGTGTGGATGGCTGGCTGCATGGACAGATGGAAGGATGGACGGGCGGCTGGATGTTCCTGGCTCGATGCCAGCCCCTTACCCGTGTCCTGCCGGAACTGATGCATGGACTGGAGGTCGATGACGTAGGGTGCCAGCTGGACATCGACCTGTCCCAGCACCACGCTGCCACGGGCGTCCTCCTTCAGCACGTTCTCGATGTGGTGGCACACGGCGGCCGAGTAGGGCCGCCAGCGCCCGTGTTCGTTCAGCCACTCCCACACCACCACGCGGGCCAGGTTTTGGGGGGGGAACCCCAGGCCCCCCGAGGCCAGCATGGCCCCCGAGCCCTGCCGTGCCATGCCCGGGGGACGGCGGCTCAGCCCCGCACCATCCCCCGGCGCGGGGGCGCGGGGGTCACCCGGGGCCCCTCCAAATCCTCCTGGCGGCTGCCGCCGGCTGCGGGCTCCGGAGCTCAGCGGAGCAGGCGCTCTGGGGCTCTGCAGGGGCGGGTGCTGCCAGCCAGGTCCCCGAGGTCCCCGAGCCACCCGGTCCCGCTCCCCCGAGGTCGCCGCGCAGGGCCGGGGCCATCCATCACCCGGCACGTCTTCCCCGGCTCTTCCTCCTCCCCGCGGTGCTGGCAGGGCTCAGGCTCCAAAAAGCCACCAGGACCTCGCAGACTGCGTCGGCTCAAGGATGGCGGTGTTTGTGAACGGTGATGGGGACACACAGCCACGGTGCTGTGCCCCTGACACCCACTCCTCCTCTTCCTCCTCGTGTCCTGCTGCTCAGCCTGCGTCCTCGCTGGCTCCACGGCTGTCCCCGCCGCCCAGCACGTCACCGGTGGCAAGTGAGGGGGGTGTCACCTGCAAAACAGGGCCACAGCGCGGGTCACTCCGGGTACCGCCGGGCGGGTGGCAGCTGGGGGACCGTCCTCATCGCCCCTGAGCCGGCGGGCAGCGACGCCGCGGTGCCCGCAGCCCTGGCAGCGTGGGCTGCTTGCCAGCCCCGGCCGGCTGCTGGCCTCCAGCGTGACAACGGGGACAGGGGGGGACAGGCCACCCTGCTGACGGCCCTGGGGGGCTGCTGAGGGTCCCACGAGCCCGGGAAGCCTCATCGCTCCCCGCGCCGGTGCTTTGGGTGCCGGGGAGCCCGCGGGCCCTGGATCCCGCTCCAGCCGCCGCTGATTTATGATCTGCACTGCAGGCATCGGGCTGGGGGTGATCCCGGCCCCCCGCTCCCGGCCGGCCCCGATCCCACCCACGGCAGCCTCCAGCCCCACGGCGGCGGGTGGGGGGCCCGGGCAAGGGGGTGTTCGCTGCACAAACAGGCGGCAGACAGAGGGACAGCCAGGGCCGGGCACACACAGACACACTGACACGGAGAGACACGGGCACACGCGCTGGCACACGCACAGCCGGTGACACGGACAGACAGCGGGACAGACGCGGGGAGCCACGGCAGCACAACAACCCCCCCGGACACACACACACACACACGGCCACACGCTCCGGCTCGGCTGGGCACACACGCACCGCGCACCCCAAAACACGCGTGTGCGCCCAGCCCCGCGCCCGCCGTGACCCCGAGCACCGCGCAGGGGGGGCCCCTCACCCTAGCCCTGATTCCCCCCGGGGACGCGCGATCCCCGGGGCCAACAGCCCCCCCAAACCGGGGCCCGGCTGCTCTTGATGTGGGGGGGTTGAAAGACCAGGCCTGGCCCCCGTGCACGGTGCTCCCCCCCCCACGGCAGCCCCCCGGTGCAGGGTCCCCCGCCGGTGGCCGGTCCCCCACGATGGCCGTCAGCCCCCAGGCCGGCGGCGCACGGCCCCCGCGGCGCACGGTATCCCCGAGCACGGCAGGCTCCCCCCTCTCGGTGCCTGTTGTGTGCCCCCCCGGCACAGCACGGTCCCCCCCCGATGCACAGCAGCCCCCATCCCTCCGGCGCACGGTCCCCCCGAGGCACGGCAGACCCAGACCGCCCCGGTGCCTCGTCCCCCCACCCCGGTGCTCGGTTCCCCGCGATGTACGGCATCCCCCAGCCCGCCGGTGCCCGGTCCCGCCGCCCCCCGAGCCGCCCCCCCGCCCCGCCATGGCCGCCGCCGCCCCGAGCCGCGGCCCCCGCGCCGTTACCTCCGGCGGCCGCAGCCGCACCGGGACCCGCAGCCGCACCGGGAGCAGCGGCGGCGGCGGCGGCGGCGGGCGCGGGGCCGGGCGGCGGCAGCGCTCAGCCAGCGCCAGGCAGCCACCGACACCGGCACCGGCGGCGCGCACGGCCGCGGGCACCCGAGGCGGGAACGCGCGCCGGGAACGCGCGCCGGGGAGCGGGGGCACGCACGGGGGAGCGGGCGTCTGCACCGGGATCGGGACTACACACCGGGACCGGGCATCGGCACCGGGATCATCAATACCCACGGGGGATCGGGCATCTGCACCGGAGGCGCGCATTGGGACTGGGGTCACGGTCCGGGAAGCCAGGACACGCACCGGGGACACCACGGGGACAGGGTGTCTGCACTGGGGACACGCACCGGGGCTGGGGAGTCTGCGACTTGGACTGGGACCGGGCATCTGCACCGGGAACCTGCACTGGGATCGGGCACCCACAGCAGGGCCAGACACAAACACCGGGGACATTCACTGGGCGCTGTGGGGACACTCCTGGAACATGCTGGGGACCGAGGATCTGCACCAGGCACCTGTACTGGGTGTGGGTATCCGCAGTGAGGACTCACAGCAGGACCAGGGACACCCACCATGACTGGGACACACACTGGGGACCAGGGACACACACTGGGGACCGGGCATCCGCACTGGGGCCAAGCACCCCTGCTGGGGACACACACTACATGTCCCCATGGGACCCTTCTTGAGGGGACGCTTCGTCCCCCCTTAGGACAGGTATTTCCTACAGACTTGTGGGGAAACTGAGGCAGAGGACGTGCCAGGAGTTGTGGCCTGAGCCACAAAGGCACATCAATGTCTGTCACCTTCAGCCCAAGGGCTCGTGGCTCCTCCTGCCGCGGGACAGATCTGGGGACTGGAGTTGTCATGGCTGTGCCCATGGCAGGACAGATTTGGGGACAGGGGAATTGACACTGGGGTTGTACCCGCGGAGAGGCATTTGGGGACAGATCTGGGGACAGGAGGGTTGTCACTTTGGTTGTGCCTATGGAGGGACAGATTTGGGGACAGGGTAAAGGTTGGGTTAGGGTTGGGTTGGGGGCCGGGCAGCGACGTCCGCGGTGGCCTCGCAGTGCCACCTGGTGGCTTCGGGCACGTGACGTGGCAGCCCGGGGGCAGCGGGGTCGGGCATGGAGACACTCACTCGTCCCCTTCCTGTCCCCACGTTGGGGGACTCGCTCCCTGCCAGCCCGCACGGGCAGGGGCCATCGCTGCAATGAGCTGTGCTCGGAGATCAGGCGGGGCTGGCACCCCAAGGGCAGGGCACGGGGCAGGGACATGGCACGGGGACATGGAGACAGGGCAGCGATCTGGAAATGGGCCATGGCACAAGGACCTGGAGCTGAGGTGGGGACATAGCATGGAGACAGAGCTGGGTCATGCCAGGGGGACATAAACCCAGGGCAGGGACATGGCATGGGGACCTGGAGCCAGGGCAGGGACATGGAGCTGGGACTTGATAAGGGGACATGAAGCTATGATGGGAACATAGGGGTGGGACAGGGCCATGGCACAGAGACCTGAAGCCCTGAAGGGGCTGAAGCCATCAGACAGGGGGTGAACATGGCAGAGGACCCCAGGGCCGGGTGGCTGTCATTCAGGGCCTTGGGGACAAGATCCTGTGCAGCCGAGGCTGGGCCCTACATGTGTGTGGGGACACGTGTGAATCACTCGCTGTAAAACTCCCTGTCCCCACCCACGTCCCCCCCGGACCCCGGGCGCCGCCGCAGCCGTGTTTAGTCTGAGCAGGAGCGTGGGTGACCTTCGGCACCCACCAGGGTAAACAGCACGTGGGCCCCACCTCAAGGACACCCGGGGGGAGCGGAGGGGTGGGGTGACCTCAAGGGGCACCCATGGGTGGGGGGTCCCTTGGGGGAGCGCTCCAGCGCTGGGTCCTCCTGTGTCCCCACCACTGGGGCAGGGTGGGGGGATGTGCTTGGGGAGACCCCACCCACGCCCCACACAGGACAAGGTGGGGGGTCCCGGGGTGCTGCCACTGCAGGGGTATGTCCCCAGACAGACAGACAGACTGTAGGGCCCCCGGCGGGGACCACCCACGCACACCCATGCACACACACACACACACACACACACACACACACTCGGTCTCCTTGCACGCCCCGACACGGGGACCACACACACGCACACACACATGGCAGAGACAGCTGGAAGAACAGCAGGAGGCAGACAGACAGACAGACGGACAGACAGAGGCAGGCAGACAGGAGGGTGCGTGGGTGGGGGAGCCGTGCACACACACGCAGGCACAAGCACACGTGGGAGTGCACACGCGTGTGGATCCACGGGCACACACGTGTGGATTGTGTGTGTAAAAGTGTGTCAAACAATGGGCAAATACGAATTTTGCGTGCACACGCGCGTGTAAATCCACGCGCACGCACAGGGTGGATAGGCAGGATCCCACGTGTGTCCCCACGCTCACACCGGTCCCCAATCGCTCCCACGGGGACCAGTGTCCCGCAGCCGGGCCCAGCCCCGCATCGCGCCCCCTCCCCGCGCTGAGCCTTCCCCAGGCCCCCGCCTCCCCCGGACCCCCGTTCCTGCCCCCATTTCCCCCCTCCCCTGGCTGATTTGTTCCCCCAGCCTCCCAAATTGTCCCCGCACTCGTGTCCGTCCCGCCAGCGGGACCCCTGTTCCGGCGGGGCGGAAGGAGGGGGAGCTGGCGGGGGGTCCCTCCTCCATCCCTCCTCCTCCTCCATCATCCCTCCTCCTTCCTCCTCCTTCCTCCTCCCCCGCCGCCCGCTCCGTGCCGGTGCCGGTGGCCGGGCAGCGCCGAGCCCCGCGGAGCGGCATGGCCGGGGGCCGGGGGTGCTGCCGCCGCCCGGCCCTGCCCGCAGCCCTGGGGCTCTGTCTGTCCCTCTCCCTGCTGCTGCCGCTGCCCGCCGCCGCCTGGAACCCGGCCCTGCTGCCGCCCGCCGCCCGCAGGTACCGGCACCGGGGACACGGGGATGCGGGCACCGGGCACAGACTACCGGGCATCGCCTGCTGGGGTGTACCGGGGACTCTGGGTACCGGGGGCACCAGGTACCGGCAGCTGCGGGTACCGAGTACTTGGCACCAGGGGCATCAGGGACCCGGGACCTCCTGGCGCGGGGGACACCGGGGACGCAGGGATGTGGGCACCTGGGAGACTCCGGGGATCTGTGCCAGGGGTCCAAGGTATCAGGCATGGGGTGTAGGGAGCGTTAGGCACGGGGTTCTGTGGGTACTGAGGGACTCTGTAGCAGGCGTGAGGGCACCATGGACAGGGGGGCACCGGCTGCTGGGCACTCCAGGAAGGGGCTGTGTGGGCTGTGACAGGGAAGGCTGGGGGTACTGGGAGATACTGGAGCTGGGAGTTGCTGGGGCCAGCAGGACTAACTGGGGGGTTACTGGATCAAGCTGGACTTACTGGGGCAGTCAGAGCTGCCAGGCTTAGCAGAGTGCTGAGAGGTGCTGGGGCTGTTGGGACTCCTGGGCTTACTGGGGCTACTGAGGCTACTGGAATGGACTGTTGGGGCTGCTGGGCAAACTGGCACTACTGGGGCTGCTGGGACTCCTGGGGCTACCTGGGCATACAAGGACATGTTGAGGCTACTGAGTCTGCCTGGGCATATTGGGATACTGGGGCTGCCTTGGCATGCTGGGATTACTGGGAATGCTGGGCATGGTGGGAGTGCTGGAGTTGGTAAAGAGTGAACGCCCGCAGCCCCAGGGTCCTGCCCGCCCCTTGGAGGTGGCCCAGCCCGGGGGTCTGGGGGTGCTGTGGGGGGCTGTGGTCCCTGTCCCGCCGCAGCGGCGGGGGGGTGCCGGAGAGGGGGGGGTTGTTTACAGGAAACCCTTGATTCTGGCCGTGTCTCCGGCACCGGATTGCCGGGACCTCCCGGTTCCGCTCGGCTCGGTGGAGCGACGGGCAGAAGCCGCCTCATTTCCCGTTCACATCCCGGCCAAGCCCAGGAAGCCCCCGGCGCCTTGGCACAACCCTGCCGTGTTCCCCCGGGACCCCTCAGGCCAGCACCCACGAGCCCCCACCCTATACCACCCCATCCCACCCTGAGGCATCGCTGGGATCCCACGTGCCCAAGTCGGGGGCATAAAGCCAAGCAGCTGATTTTGGAAATGGGAATGGGATTCGGAGCCAAACCTGGTGTGGGCTTTGCCCCAGGTGGGCACCAGCCCTGGCAGCAGAACCCGGACCCCCTCGGTGCCGGTGCGGTGCCAGGTGGGCCAGGGTCACGCCAGGCCACGCGGGCACTCACATGCCAAAGCCTGCCAGCTCCTGCCCCGCTCCTGGGAGGGCATTCCCCTTGGGAAATGAGCCGGGACGCATCCCCATCCCATCCCATTCCAACAGACATTTTCACAGCTGGAGCTGGCACCGCCCAGGAGCTGAGTGCCCCTCCAAGGGGGACGATGCCACCCGGGACCCCCTTGGCATGGCAGGGTGGCAGCGGGAGCGTGGCGACAGCCCCAGCGGGCTCTGTGCTTCCATAGCCCTGGCACGGTGCCCGCCTGGGACGCTGCCCAGCCGGAAAGCCCTGTGCCACCCGGCTGTCCCCCCCCGCCTCCGGCACCTCCCAGACAATTGTCCCCCCGCGGCGCCCGCTTGTCCCTGCTGCCAGCGCCTCCCTCCCCGCAGCACTGCAGCGGTCCCGAAAAGCTCCTTTTTTGACACAAATTGTGCAGCCTTTGAGTTTGGAGCTGCCGAGGGCACAGCGAGTCCTTCCCACAGCGGGGACGGGGTCACTCGGCGCTGGTGTGTCCTCCCCTGCAGGGGGAAACTGAGGCTGGGGTGCCCGGGGAGGGGGTGGGCAGAGCCTGGCATGTGGGGCAGAAGAAAGGAGCCTTTGTGTGGGGTGGGCTGGGGGTGCGGGGGGGCTCCGGGCCCCGCTCCAGCCCGGGCACCGGCGCCATGCGGGGAATGCAGCAGGAATGTGGGGTCTCAGCTCCTCCCACGTGTCAGAGCAGGGCTCCCCATGGGCACCCCAAAAACTGGGGGTATCTCCCAGGGTGACAGTTTGGGTGGCAGTACCCCCATGGTGTCCCCGCAGAAGAGCTGGTGACATCATGGTGGTTTTCCTTCCAGCAACTGGTGCTCCTACACGGTGACACGGACGGTGTCGTGCCACGTCCAGAACGGGACCTTCCTCCAGAGGGTGTTCCAGGGCTGCCGCTGGCCCCTGGCCTGCAGCGGGGGCAGGTGAGCGGGGCCACCAGGGTCCCCAGGGAGCAGGGACAGCTGAGATGTCCCCAGGGAGCAGGGACAGCCGGGATGTCCCCAGGACTGGTCTGAGCGCTGCCCCTCTGTGCCGCAGCTACCGCGCCGTGATCCGGCCCCTCTACAGGGTGAGCTACAGGACACTGACGGCGCTGGAATGGCGCTGCTGCCCCGGACACGCCGGAGCCAACTGCGAGGAAGGTGGGAGCTGGTGTGGATGGGGGTCCTGTGCAGGGTGGGCACGTGGCACCAGGGGCTGTGGGACATGGCCCTCAGTGTCACTGCTGGG